ATTAACCCAGTCAGGGGCACAGTCCTCTGACCTCATTGCTTCTTAATGGCCCTGAACCCATCCTGGTAGGAAAGGAGATATGCAAAGAAGACACACTTGGCTCTCCCTTTGACTGCCAGATGATTGAAGCAGTGGCCTCAATTAAATTAAAATTTAATTGAGAATTAAATTTTAATTTAAAATAAAATTATTTTATTTTAAAATAATTTAAATTATTTTAAATTATTTTAAAATTTTAATTTAGAATTAAAATAAGGAAACCAGGAAAGCGCTGCTGCCGGCCTGAAGAGGAATTTACCCAGCTGGAAGAGATTTCACACCATTCTAGACAGTTTATCAGGCCGCCTTGCATCTAGGACCACAGAGAGAGAGAGACAGAGAGAGCGCTAAACCTCAGGTCAGTACCCTATATATGAGCTTGGAAGTCCCTAGAGTCCTACATTTGTTCCTCTTCTAAGAAACCGACTAGGTTTCTTGGCTCTTTAATGTTTTTAATTGGCATCCAGGGGACAAGTAGCCAGGCCTAACTTGTCACAGCTGCCAGGGCCTAGACTTTAACCCTAAAAACATGGTTGATAGTGTCAGTGACTTAGGTACTTTTTTATTGCAGTGACAAAGCATCTTGACCAAGGCAACTAGGCAAGCACATAATGGGGCTTAGAGTGTCAGAGGGTGAGTTCATGACTGTTGTCTTACTTAGAGTTGGTATTGTTGACAAAATACCATGACCAAAAAGCAAGTCAGGGAGGAAAAAGGGTTTATTTAGCTTACACTTCCATAGCCCAATTCATCATCTAAGGAAGTCGGGACAGAAACTCAAACAGGACAGGATCCTAGAGGCAGGAGCTGATGCAGAGGCCATGGAAGAATGCTGCTTACTGGCTTGCTCAGCCTGCTTTCTTAGAGCACCCAGGACGGCACCACCCACAATGGGCTGGACCCTCCTCAACAATCACTAATTAAGAAAATGCATTACAGCTGGAGCTTATGGGACATTTTCTCACCTGAGGTTCCCTCCTTTCAGAGAACTCTAGTTTGTATGTCAAGTTGACATAAGACCAGCCAGCATAACTCTAACGGCAGGGAGCATGGCAGCAGGCAAGCAGGCATAGTGCTGAGGCAGTAGCTGAGAGCTCACATCTGATCCACAGCATGAAGCTGAGAAAGGCAATTTGGAATGGCATCGGCTTTTAAAACCTCAAAGCCCAGCTCCAGTAACGTATCTTCCCCAATAGGCCCATGCCTCTTAATCCTTCCAAACAGTTCTACCACCTGGGGACCAAGTTTTCAAATATGGCTATGATGGCCGATCTCATTCACATCACCACAGATGGGAATGTGCTCATCAGGTGAGAGAGCTTTCTGTGTGAACATGAGGAAATGTGCTCTAATCCTTTGCACCCATGTAAAAAGCTGAGCATGGCTGCCTATGCCTGCAACCTCAGCAGTGAAGGCAAGAGATAGGCCCGTCCTAGGAGCTCAGTGGCCAGCCGGCCTTGCTGAGCTTTGGGTGCAGCGAGAGACTGTCTCAAAGGAATAAGACAGAGAATGATAGAAGATGCCCCAACCTCCTCCTCCTCCCCTGGCTTTAGCAGCATAAGCCTGGGCATCTGCACATGCAAACTCATGCATACCCACCACATATACATACATGTACGTGTACATATACATATCAGTCACACATACACCGCAGGTTACAACGTCCATTAAAATTCCAGCATAAGTTTTGGAGAAAACATTCAAACCACCATATTTATTGAAGTGAAGGTTAACAGGATCTTCTACAGAGACCCAATAGCGATCCTGGGATTTTCCTTTCAAGTCTGGGGTTGCCGTTCACGAATATGAGTTGACACAGAGGTCAGCTGCAAAGGAAAAGTCTATTTCTGTTACTTGAAACATCTAACAGACACCTAAGCGGTGGGTAGTCCACTGAGTTAGCAGCCGAGAGTTCGCGAGTGAGCTCGGAATGGGTGATGTAAATGTGGGGCTCCAGGGGAAAGCAGTGTACTTGGGCCATTAAAATAAAGCAAGACTATGTAGATTCAAAAGCAATTGATTGCTTTACAAGTACTGTGGAATAAACAATCCTAAAATGTGGTGACCTAGAGCTACCAGCATTCATTCTCAGCGCTCTGAGATTGGACAGGGAGTGGCTGATGGAGGTGAATCTTGCCTGTGGCCCTGTTCTGTGACACTCCTCCAACTGGCTCTTGTTTGTTTTTGACAATATCAAGGCATAAATGGAAAAGCAGGAACATGTGCGATCTTTTTGGGGTCTATGCTCAGAGGCATATTACCACCTTCTCCACATTCCTAGCCAAAGCAAGTCACATAGCTGAAACCTCAAGTTAAAGATGAGGTGATTCTAAATCAAAGGCATCGACACAAGCAATGGTTGAGAGAAAGAGAGAGAGAGAAATATAGCCTCAGTAAATGTAATCTCTCATGTGTATAAGGACCAAGTCCTGGAACATAACTTTAAAGGTCAAGTTTGAATCCCATAACTCCATTTCTGGAACCAAATATGAAGATTATCTTAGTCATACACACTCTTTTTATTTTTCAAGACAGGGTTTCTCTGGCTGTTCTGTATTCACTTTGTAAACCAGGCTGGCCTCAAACTCACGGAAGATCCGCCTGCCTCTGCCTCCTGAGCTGGGATTGGGGGTGTGTCCCACCACACCCGGCTATGCACTATTTTTAAAGAGTCATTTAGTTTTATATTATGTGTCTGGGTAGTTTAGCCTGCATGAATATTGGTACAATATATGTGCAGCTCCATAATCGGCCAGAAAAAGGCATTGGATCCTTTGGAACTGGAGCTATAGACGATGGTGGCCTTTCCAATGGTCCGGACCAAACGTGGTCCTCTGCAAGAACAGTTACGTGTTCTTAACCACTGAGCCATCTCTCCAGCCCTATCCCATACATACTCTCAACTATTGTTTTCCCCTGCAGGAAGGAACAAACCAATTGGTTACTGAAGGCCTCAATTCCTCAAATAAAAAACACTGATTTCAAATTACTATTATAAAGAAAGTCTATGGCAAGATGTTGTACGATAACAAACTGTGTTGTCTCTTAGCCCAGAGGGAAAATCCCAAACAAACAGCTTGAAGGAAATAATGAAAAGTCTTCACTGTCTGACACTGTAAATTCAGAGTTTCCAGCAGAAACCTCTGAAAAGGTGATTAACATGAATACATGAAACCTTCTCAAAGGTCCATCAGAAGCTCAGCACCAAACCACAAACTAAAAACAGTCAGCCTTCAGAGATGCAGGCTAACACATGGGATTGTTGTTATGTTCTTTGGTTTTTGTTGTTGTTGTTGTTGGTGGTGGTGGTGGTGGTTTTCTGTGAGTTTGGTTTTGGTTTGGATTTTGTTTTGTTGTTTCTTTTGGGGGGGTTGTTGTTTGTTTGTTTGTTTGGGACAGTGTTTTTCTCTGTAGCCTTGTCTGTCCTGAAACTCATTCTGTAGACCTGACTGGCCTTGAACTCACAGAGATCTGCCTGCCTCAGCCTCCAGAGTGTTGGAGTAAAGGTGTGAACCACCACTTGCCTGCTCTAACACATGTTTTTACCTAGTTTCTCTTCTGTTGCTGTTTGGAAGATATTTGTTTGTTTGTGTGTTTAGTTTTGAGATAGGGTTTCTCTGTGTGGCCTGGGCAGTCCTGGAACTCTTTCAGTAGAACAGGCTGCCTTCAGACTCAGAAATCTGTGCCTTTGCTCCCCAAGCCCCTCAGCCCCGGTATGTGACACCTCTCCTGTCTCCTTGTAGAGATTTTTAGGTTGTGACAACTTGGCCTGGACACAGTGGCACAAGCCTTTAATCCCAGCACTAAGGAGGCAGAAGCAAGTAAGGAGGCAGAAGCAAGTAGATCTCTGTGGGTTCTAGACCAGCCTGGTCTACAGAGAAGGTCGGGTCAGCCAGGGCTAGACAGTGAGAACCTGTCTCAAAATAAGTAAATAAAGTATAACATCTACTTGATACATATATATATATAATAAAATTTCTAGGCTTTTGACTTTCTTTGAAAATAAAGCAACAGTTGTCTTAAAGGATATAATCTGCTGTGGGCACTTTAGGCTACAAGTCTAGGTTTTTGAGAAATAATGATCAAATAATACCTCAGTGGAATGTGTGTACTATCTTACGTTGTAAGCTACTTTTGCTAAATTTTTGGAGAGGAAAGGGCCTCAGAGATGATTACCAACTAATTTTATGTATGAAATTGGCAGAAGCCCAGAGAGATTAACCTGGTTGTTGCGGCAGTAAGGGAATTAGTTCACCTGACAGCAGAAAGGCACAGCTACAGGAGCTCTGGTCCAGCTTCCATTCCATCTACCCACAGTTTCTGATTACTTCCTGTCTCCGTTCATTTCCTGTTCCTACAACAAAGCACCAGGCAAACTTGTCTAGGAGAAGCTGGGTCATCATCCTAGGGCTGCAGACATCAACTGTGAGACATGTCTTCCCATGTGGCCCTGGGTTAAAGAGCTTGCTTTAGAGTTCTGTCGAATTTACATTCTGGATAGGGTTGGTCAAGGAGAGAATGCTTCTCTATGAACAATGTTAAGACGTTATTTTATAACTTTAAACATTTTGACGGTCTCCATTTCTTCAGGGGTAAAATCTGAATACAGACTTTTCACACAGTGCTTGGGAACATGTCGGGCAACCGTGTTCAACAGAAACATAATTCAAGCCTCACATATGGCTCAGTTCTCACAGGTAAACAAAAAAGCAAAAGTAGGCAAGAAAATGTTAGAAAAACATTTACCTCAATACGTAAAGAACACCTTAAGATTATGCGATCCTCTACACGTGGTTTTTCAGCCTGTCTTTGGAGAATGACTACTGCATCAAGTGTGGCAAGTTCTCTGTGACCCACGCCCTAGTCGCCTACGCTCGGACTGCGCCCCCGACCCGGCGCGGGGCGGGGCTATGCCAGAGGGGGCGGGGCTTCTCCCTGAGCGCGTTTCGGGCCGCGCGAGCTTCCGTAGCAAGACGCAGGCGGCGGCGCCGCCACGTCCCAGGCGGCGTCCGGGAAGCAGGCAGTCCGGCCTGGGAAAACTTTGAAGTGACCATGGCCTTCACGCTGTATTCCCTGATGCAGGCGGCCCTGCTGTGCGTGAACGCCATCGCCGTGCTGCACGAGGAGCGCTTCCTCAAGAACAGTGAGTGCAGGATGTGGGGGTGATCGGGGTGGGGGCCTGGGAACTGCCGGGCAGCTGGAAGTCTGCGTGGCGAGCCAGGGTGGGAGTGTGGGGCCCCGGGCCGGCAGCGGAGGGACCTACCCTCCTAGAATTTCTCTCAGTCACTTTCTTGTTACCTACCTTAGAGATGGGAAAGCTGGCATGTGACTTTTGACTTAAAATACTGGGAGTGCAGGAGGAACATGGCTTTTTTCAGAGTGCTGGTTGTTAGAGGGACTGATGGGGAGAATGAATGAGGAGAGCAGTAGAGGTTCGTAGGAGTTGGCGTTAATGGGAAAAAGAGTTAGCAGTTTCTGCAGCCGCCCTGGTTCCAGCAGCACGGCCTTCAATGAGCACACACCATTGGGTGCCTACCGTGTACCAACGACTGGAATCAAGGAATACAAAATGAAGACAAGCACACGTTATGGTTTCTTCGACCTCCCATTTAGGAGATCTCCATGCCAGCCTGATCCAGCTGCTTCTTGCTGTATAGGACAAAACTGAGATACCATGTGAGCCATTTGTTGTAGTTTACCAACCGTGTCCTTGGAATCATTGAAACTCAAACCCACAAGCAAAAAAGATGCGTTTTATTTAGTACTTCGGAAGGGATGAACACAAAAACGTGCCAGGCCTATGCAACAGAGGCCGGTTGCACCAATCATTTGCCCTTAAAATGGAGTTTAAGCTAGTTTAAAATAACGAATATGCCAAATATTAGAGAGCTGTACGGCGGTATAAACATGAAGATCTGAAAAGGCCTGGGGGAGGTGTGATAACTGTGAAGGCGAGGGATTGGAAAAGTTTGGAGCCTCGTTTAGGGCCACTCTGGGCATGAAAACCAAGGTAGGTGAAAATAGTTGTAAACAAGGGACGTGGCCAGATTTGTGTTCCCGATTTCCTGTTAGATGCAATATGGAGAAGTGATGGGAAAGGAGAGGAGTGGGTTTGGAAAGGGCTGTCTCAGATACGGCAGGTAGACGATTATGATCTTAATATTGATAATAACCAGTAATTATGTGTTCTGTGTTGGGTATTTTACATGTGGTGTGTGTGTGTGTGTGTGTGAGAGAGAGAGAGAGAGAGAGAGAGAAGGAATCTAAAGCAGGAAGTGAATGGGTAACTTCTAGGATCACACGTGTAGAAGGGGGTGCAGTTGAATACTCTGACTCCAGAGTCCATTTCTTTACCTCTGAACTGTACAGGGAACTCTTCATGACCATGTGATGGGTTGAATTGTATTCTGACTCTGTGGTACCTGTGGCTGTGACCTTATTTGGAAATATCATCTTTGAAAATTTGTAGTCAAATCGAGGTCCTCATTACTGGATTAGGTGTTGGACCTTAGATCTAATCATTGTTATCCTTATGAGGAGAATGAGATTCAGAGGCACACAGACAGGAAGAAGAGAGTGTGATCACAGAGGCAGGAGATTGAAGTGGCTTGGCTTCAAGCCAAGAAACCCAGGCACTCCAGCAACTACCAGATACAGATTTCTGGAGGCATGGGTAAGATTATCCCTCAGAGTTCTCAAAAGGAACCAGCTCTGTGGAATTTTAGACTTGGCCTCCAACGCTGGGAAAGTGCTTTCTGTTGTGTGAAGCTTTAGTTCATGGTGCTTTCTTTAGTCAGCCCTAGGAAACTAATACAGACCAGGAAACAAGGCCAAATGTGTTGTTGGGCAGGCTTGAAACTTTAAAGCTGAAGTGAGTTACAAAGTGAATTTAAGGCCACTGAGCAACTTAGCAAGACCTTGTCTGGGGAAGTAAAAGGAAGGCTGGACACACAGCTCTTGGTAGCATGCTTGTGTGTAAGCCCTGCCGCCCCCAGCCACACACAAAGAACATGTTGAATACTGGCAGTGAGGGAGAAAAGATAAAGGCAGAAAATTCTGGTTTCCTGGCTTAAGCCACTGAGTGAAATGCTTTTATGGTGTTAGGAAAAAAAAATGGAGGAAAATTGGATGGTGGTGGTACATCAGGAACTAAAATGATAATTAAATAAGTCTGACTTGCTCACTTTGAGATTTCTATGGGGTGTGCAATAGATGTAGAATAGTTGATGGATTAAAGATTGCAGAAATGAACCAGAGTGGAGATTAAAATTTGGATGTGTTAAGTACAGATAATAAATGAAGCTATGTGAAGAGATAAAATTACTGCAAAAAAGGTCTGGAGACATGGCTTAGTGGTTAAGAGCACTTGTTGCTCCTGCAGAGTAGTGCCCAGATTTGGTTCTCAGCACCCACGTGCTGGCTCACAACTCTTTGTAACTCCAGTTCCAGGGAGGCACTGCACACACATACCCGGGGTAAATAAAAACAAAGTACTAGGCTGGGCGTGGTGGCGCAGGCCTTTAATCCCAGCGCTCAGGGAGGCAGAGACAGGTGGTTGGCTGTGAGTTGGAGGCTAGCCTGGTCTACAAAACAAGTCCAGGACAGCCAAGGCCACACAGAGAAACCCTGTCTCCAAAAACGGAAAATAAATAAATAAAAATAAAGTGCTGGAAGAGGGAACACACAGAGTTGGTGCTCAGGACTACAGATCCCTCTAGTAACGTTTAAGTGGCGGTAGACAGCTGACAGGAAAATCTAATGGATTTTAGAAACCAGAAAACAGACAGGGGAGTTTCATTAAAATGACAGTTTTTGAGCTGGGCAGTGGTGTCACATGCCTTTAGTCTTAGCACAGAAAGATACAAAAAGAATCTTCTGTTGTTGTTTGGGTTTTTGAGGGATGGCCCTTTCAGTGAATGTTTCTCAGCTGGAGGCATAGCTCAGTTTGTAGAGGCAGTGTCTAGGATGCAGAAAGCCCCAGCCTTAAGTCGCAGCATAAAACTGGTCACAGAGGCATGTTTTGACAACTCAGCACTTGGTGAAGGAAGAAGGTCAGAAGGTCATAGTCAGCCTTAGCTGCACAGGCAGTTGGAGGCTGACTTTGGAGACCTTGTCTCAAAAACCAAACAAAAGAACTCCCCCCACACCCCAACCAAAAAATTATTTTCCAAAAAGAAGTAATGACCTTATATGAACATGTTAATTATACAGAATGGCAGGTTTAAACATAGTACCGTCTATCATACTAAACACCAAGCCAGTTGGGAGAGCATTGAGGGTCTAAGTGAGAATGGTGAAAGTAGGCTTCTGAAAGAAAACAATCTTTTCCTTAAAGTGCCACATCATAAAGATTTTATGCCTTGCTTACCCAGAGACACATATACTTAGGTAATTGAGAGTATTATATATACTTAGGTGATTATTTTAAAATGTGAAAAAAATGGGACTAGAGAGATGGCTTAGCAGTTAAGAGCACTGGCTGCTGTTCCAGAGGACCCAGGTTCAATTCCCACCACCTACGTGGTGCTCACAACCACCTGTAACCCCAGTTCTAGCAGATCCGATGTCCTCTTCAAGTCTCCGAAGGCACCCGCCATGTATGTGGTGCATGGACCTATACAGACAAAACATCCTTACACATAAAAGTTTTGATTTTGTTAATGTGGAAAAACCTTTCTTTGAACTGAGGGCCTTGTGCACACAGGCATGAGCTCTCCCACTGAACTGTGTCAGGATCTGGAAGCAGGACTCTCATTGGAGAGAGCTCCAGATGGAGGTCTGGACCTTTCTGAACCCACCTTCCAGCAGAGCAGCTGTGATTAGTGGCAGTGTAAAAATCAGATGCCTCTGATTCCACTTAAAGCATTCATGCATCAAAGGGAAAAGCAGCTCAAGGAGTTAAAGGACCCAGGTTGGGTTCCCACCATGCACATGGTGGCTCACAGTGCCCTCTTTTGGCTCCTGCATGCTTGTGGTACACATAAATTAAGCAGACACACACACATACTCATACAAATAAAATATCAATATATGAAAAATATATGTAAAAAATCTACCAATGTATAAAAACACTGTTCATCATGATCAAGTGGGATTTACCCAGAATTGCAGGATTGGTTCAACATTTCATCATATTGACAACAGAAATCACATAGCCAACACAGTAGGCACAGGAAAGCATTTGAAAAGCCCGGTACTCTGGTAGTAGTGTTGTTCATCATTGGGGCTGGAGAAATGGCTTAGTTGGTATTGTTTGCTGTACAAGCAAGCTGATGTGAGCTGCAATCCCCAGCACTGTCATAAAGTTCAGGTGTGGCTTGTGCGCATTAATGACGTTGCTGGCCAGCTAGTCTAGTGTAATCTACAATCTATAGGTTCAGTGAGAGAATTTGTCTCAAAAAAATAATGTGGGGAGTGATTTAGGAAGGCACCTGATTTTAAGCTCCAGCCTGTACAGACACATATTTATTGAACTAGAAATAGAAGGAAATTCCTCAGCCATATGTTACCTATGAAAATGTCCAGTTAACATCATACTTAACTGTTGAACGTCTGAATGCTTTCCCTGACTAAGAATAAGACATGGAGGTCCTCTCTTGCTGTTTCTGTTTAACATTGTGTGAAGATTCTGGCTAGGGAAATTTGATAAGAAGCAAGAAATCAAAGAGATCTGCATTGGGAGGTTCAAAAAGCAAAACTGTCTGTTTGCAGATAATATATTCTTGCATATATAGAAGATCTGGAAAAGTCCACTAGAAAGCTGAAGGCTAATAACAAACAAGCTTAATACGGTTGTGGGACACAAGAAAACCAGTTGTTTGAGGCTTGAGTGATAGCTAAGTTGGCAAAGTGCCAACCATAAAAGACTGAGGCCTTGACTTTGAATCCCTGTCATCCACATAAACGCCAGGTGGGCTTGGTGACCTGCCTGTAACCCCGGCACTCCAGAGGTGGAGACAAGGGCTGCCTGAGCAGGCTTGCTAGCTAGACTACTCAAATCCGTGAGCTCTGGGTTCAGCTGGAGACTTACCTCAAGATGTAAGGTGGAGAGCAGTTAAGGAAGGCACCTGGCGTCGACCTCGCGTCTCTCTGTGCACACAGGTGCATGCACACCCCACCACGAGCGCACATCAATTTCCTGAACAAGCAGTTGAGAAGCCCCGTGTAGCAGTAAGAGGAAAGCTGTGATAAACATCTCTTTTTCCTGTTCCCTCACATGTCACCACTGTGTCTGTCTGTGGAGTATTCACAGATGAATTGCTCTTTACCCAAACTTCTACCTGTTTTCATTCGGCAGCATGGAGACTGGGCTTCAGTAAGCCAGAACATCTGCCTGTCAGTTATTTCAGTGCTGATAATTGTCTTCTGGAAACTCCTACTGTTGCCAGGATTTTGCCTGTTGTTTTGAAGAATAGCTTAATGTTATAAAAGGCCTTTTTTTTTCCTACTAAAATTTACTCCTTTTATATTAAAAATATGTGTAAGCATCTTCTTAAAACCTAATGAAAAAAGATTTCTGGGAGCCAGGGTTGCGGGCCCTCAAGCTTTCAGGGACTTTCCTGTTTCCATTTCCTATCTGTCCATACAAACACTGGCATTGCAGATGTGTGCTGCAGCTGTCTTAAAAGTGGGTGCTGGGGATTTGAAATCAGCTCTTTTTGCTTGCACAGCCAGTGCTTTCCCCAAGGAACCTTCTTCCTTCATCTTAAATTCATGTGTAATATAAATAAATGGGGTTATTCCGAAATTTTATGATCATGATCCTAGAATTCACCTTATCTTCCCTTATCTCAGTATAAACTCAGTCTACTATAATTTAGTTCAATACCACAGCCAAGAATTCATCTTGTCTTCCATTATCCCATTAGTCCATTAACTCAGTCCACTACAATTAGCTCAGTTCCACAACAATTTTTGAAGTACTTGCTGTGGTATGGGGAAGAGTGGAAACATGAAGATATGTGGCTGAATTGCAGTCCCTGTCCTCCAAGAATTTGCAATATAATGGGAAATGCTTGGAAACACCTACCAATGTGAAGAAAGTCTCTACAATAAGTAGGACTTGGGGAACAAAGAGAAGGAAGAGTTGCTGTGACCTGGGCATATTAGGTCAGCCCCATGTGACAGACCCGGATCAGAAGCTTTGACAGTTGATGGGCAGTTGTCTGTACCATTGTCCCTTAGTGTTTGTAGGGGTGGTTCCAGCTCACATTAACACACTACAGAGTGCTAATGTAACGGTTGTGTGGTCTAGTGAACATCATACAAATTCTGAGGTAGAAAGTCCTAACTCTTTAAGGGAAGAATCTAAAGGGATTGAAACAGTGAGCTATAAGAGACGTCTAACTTGAACAGCTGTGGTATTAACAACTGCGATGGATTACACAGTAAAAGCCAAAACCACTACCACCCTTGAGAGCTGAAGACCTGGAAGCAGACCCTCAGCCAGGGGAGGTGGGAGGTCAGAACTAAAGTTGGCTCTTCGTGAAGTTGAATTCTAAATTAGTGTCATGCACAACATGACAAAAATGCAGGCAGCCATTATTTAAACATTATTTCAGCCCAATAAAAGCCAATTAAGTGAATGTTTCCTGATGCTTGTTTTTTTCGTGGATAAAATAGACTTGTTCTTGGTCTTCAGGTTTAGAGGTTAGCATGCGAGGAATTAAACTCTGTAGTCATGTGTGAGTAAAACGGGGACCTGAAATGAGGACAAGAGAAGGATAAATTGCTGAAATGAGGACATGTCTTTAGAAGAAAGTAATAACAACAGCAAAAACCTAATAGATAGAGGATAAGAGTGATTTGAAATGGGTAAATGTCAAACAGAGGTAAAAGACTTGTTTACAGAGAACCCAGAATGCAGAAATGAAGAAAGATCAAAGAGAATGGAAAACCGTGTGCTCTGAAGGCTTACCTAAACGGCACATTAAAATTTGCCCACATGATTCCAGCTACTGCATTTTCTCATTGATACTTTGTTAGATAATGCGGCTTTTTAATTGAGTAAGTAATTACTTACTCTAGCATTATGCTTTGAGTTTGTTTGTTGTTGTTCTGCATTGAGGAAAGGTACTTTGATAACTTTAAAGAAGGAAAAAGAATAGGTTGTTAACAGTTGCCATCTTCAGTGAATTGAGCACCTTGGAATCATTTGAACTAGATTATTTTATAAACTCAAAGTAGAATGAAGAGAATATGGTTGTTGCCACTCCCAAGAGAGAAAAAAACTATTGAACTCATATTTTAATTTTAAGACATATGACTTTATACTTTATGTCTTTACAGGGCTCAAACTAATTTTTAAAAGATGACTAATGAGGGAACAAGACAAGCGCATAGTACATTTAACTCAGCTAATCATCTTTATCTTGCACAGTTGGCTGGGGAACAGACCAGGGAATTGGTGGATTCGGAGAGGAGCCAGGAATTAAATCTCAACTAATGAACCTTATTCGGTCGGTGAGAACTGTGATGAGAGGTAAGAAGAACTTACAGGGCATCTTAAGTTACAATTTTGCAGAAGGATATTAGAAGCAAAGCATTTGAGAGTGTGAACTATCAGGTTTTCCTTGTCTTCTGTAACCTGTATTTACTGTTTGAAAGTTGCTGGCCTCTTTCTTACATCACAGCTTCTAGGAAATGCAATGTTACGAGTCTACTCTGTGTGTTACCTGTCAGGATAGAAAGACAGTCATGTCCTTGCTGTTTAGAAACTGTGCCTTCCATGTTGAAATGTAGAAACATGAAGATTTTCCAGGAGAAAATTAAAGGTTCTGAATCTGTCATTGTATTGAAAAATACTCTGGAGTAATACTTTAGTCAAAAAAAGAGTTCAGACATGTTGTATTTAAACACTGGGACCAGAGACTTTTCATATCTTAATCATAACTTTGGATTCATTGTTAATAATTTCATCCTTCATGATAACACTACAGAACCTTCTTTGAACTTAAGTGTGCGGCCATATAGATCTGTCTGGTCCTCTATGTTCCCAGAGCTATGCCAGAACCATCCAAAAATGCCTCTATGCATATAGATGTGCAGTGAGACCAAGCGTGGTGGTCCCATCCCTTGGCAGGCAGAGAAAGGAGGTTGTGAAAGTTAAAGGCCAGCCTGGTTTGTACAGTAGACTCCAGGCCAGCCAGGGTTACAGAGGCATCCCTGTTTTATTACCATCCACCAAAAGAAAATATCCTCAGTTTTGTAATAGTCTGTTTTTCTACTATTATTATCACAGTATGGGTATGATAGCATATTCCATCCTCCTTGGAAGCTACTTGCTACTGTTTAATTTTCCTCTCTTTTGTTTGTTTTTGTTTTTTATAGTAACGAACTTTTCTTTTCCCTTTCAGTGCCATTGATAATAGTAAACTCAGTTACTATTGTATTGCTTTTGTTATTTGGCTGAGCATCGTTGGGAAGTTATCGACTCAAAGGAAAAGATACCCTCTCAAAAGTCACTATTTCCGTTGTGACTGGAATATTCATGTTTCAACAGGCTCATCTTGCAGTTGAAAAAAATGTAAAGTCAACAATAAAACCAGATTTTCTATTTTATTTGATTTTTTTTTTAAGTTGCACTTGTAGTTTCAGTACAGAAGGGATCAGCTCATTAGAGGCAGGAATACTCCAGGATTGGAACAAACTTGCTTCATTTAAAATTGGTCAAGGTTGTTAATGCACAGGACTGCTGCCTCTGTTCCATTAGATGCTGCTCTGTCTCACAACTCAGGGATGGACTTTTCTCCAAAGTTTTGGAATTCCTTCCCATTTAGATATGACCTGAGAGTAATTAACTTCCTATGTAAATTTAAAGAGTCTCTTAAAGTAACAATTACATTTAATTGGCAAATTGGTAATTTTGGCAATTTTGAGCTCTTTGGTTTACTAGTCTAATAACTATATGGGGCAATACCTTGATTTCAGGGAAAATTCTGGTTCCATAAACCAATTGTTAACTGTGGTTTTGCTTCAAGTTTTTCTTATGCTGTTTATTAATTGACCTGAACCATGAGGCCAGACTATTTACATATTTTCATTGGTAGAAAGTCTTCCCTTTTTATAACGATTTGTTTGATAAAAAATCAGTATAACTATTAGGTGGCAAAAATCAGCCCATACAGTCACAAAGTGAGCTGCTCAAGCGGACCGTTTATTGTGAAGCATTTGCCTCTCCCAGGTCAGACATCCATTTCTTGGTGGAGTAGCATGGTACAACTATGATTCTTAGTTGCTCATTCTGTCAGTAGACCATTTATGCTAGATAACTGTCTTTGTTTTTGTTTTGGTTTGTTTTGATGTCTTTTGTTAATGTCTTGGGCCAACTTTGTGAGGTTCTTTGCTCATCCCCTAAAACTATGGTACAGTTTTACATAGGAAGACTTAAACTTGAGCAAATGCCATGTGAAATGTTTCAGTTACAATAATTTAAAGGGCTTAGGTGGAATCTTGCTGTATAGGAAAACTTTTATAAATAAAGTTGACTTTCCACCTCAAGCATCTGGTTTGTGCCTTATATAAACCTAGCATTCTGAATCTGTTGACCTCTGTTTTGTTCTTTACTCTAAAGTTGCCAAGTAAAAATTTAATGAATGTTAATATTCATAGCCTTTTTGTTTCTTCAGTGAATTAACTTAATTGCTGACATAAATCAAGAGGACCCTGAGTAACTTTTAAGTTACTTCTAAAACTGGAGCAGGTCTTGAAGACCTTTTGGTAATGTCCCAATTGGAGAGGGCTGGTCTTTTATTTGGACTTAAGGGCTCGCAGCTGGACCAAGAAAATGTCCTCGAATTCATGGCTCCTGAGGAGCTTGGTCCTAGGATGTTCTCTGGCCTCAGAGTTAACCAGTCTTGGTAACTAACACCTTGTTTTATTTTTTTTAAAAGACCGAAGATGATTGTGTCCAAGTTTGTGCCTCTAAGCAGATCTTTAAAAAGTCAACACTGTTGACTGTAACATTGGGCAGAGACAGTGCCAGATGGTGCTCCAAAAAAGCACCATCAGTCAGAGCAGCAATCTCGCCCAGAGGTTCCAGACGGGTAAGCTGTATTCTGTCTCATCACACTGCCCCTGAAGTTGTCATTTTGATGGTATCACTGGTGTGATAAAATATTTGACAAGTGCAACTTCAGATGGATTTCTTTTGGCTTATGGTCCATCACAGTGGGGAGATGCATGGCAGCAAAAACAGGAGACTGCTTGTCACATTCCTCCGCAAGACGCCTAGATGCTGGCTTCTTCCCAACAACCCCTTTGCAATGAGCCTGGGGCTTCGGTCCATAGGATAGCTCCTTCCCTTGGAAAAACTCCGGAAACACCATCATAGACGTGCCCAAAGGTTTGTCACTGGGTGATTTTAAACGTAGTCAAGTTGACAGTTAAAATTAGCCCTCACGAATAGTGAACACAGAAAGATGCCTATGCCGGCACAGAATTTATTTGGCTCGAAAGGAGACAAGTTGTGACTCCTAATGTGTGGCAGAAAGGGGCGGTAAGGAAGGCCGAGGAAAGTGGACCAAGATCTTTCTCACTTAAAAACAGATAAGCCCATGGGAGCTCTCACGGAAGGAAGACTAAGAAAGCTGAAGGCACAGTTTGGATGGCTTGGTGGGACCTATAAGTAAATACCAACGCTATTCAGGTACCGAAATAGACTTGGGGCAAGGGATTTTGGAGGATTATGAATAGTTCTGAAGCCTCTGAAGGAACAAGAAATAGGGAAGTGACGAAGGGAGGAGGCAGCGATTGAGACACGGTGCTACGCCATGGAGCTCTATAGTGAGCAATTGCAGAAGCATCGGTTTCTTCGCGCATCTGGGCTCCACAGGCTGCTTGCTCGCCTGCTGCTGCCGTCTCCTCCCCTCCAGAGGCGCTCGGGGGACTCCGGATACTGCCCTGGGACACTGGGCGGGACTTCCGGCGCGTCAGGACTGCATCCGGGTCGGGTGGTGTGCAAGGCGGCGCATTGGCTTTTCCAGAGGACGGCGGGGCGACGAGGGTGAGGAGGCGCGCGCAGCCAAGAGGCGGAGGGCTCGGGAATGGCGGCCGCGCCCCTGCCGGAGGCAGCATCTGCAGTGAGCCGGTCGGGGGAATAAGCCTGCGCGTCCTTCGAGGGTCGCGCTGCTCGGGCCGGGCCTCCTCGCGTCCTGTGGTGACCGCCCCTCTGAGGCCTGCGCATGCGCAGAACTGGCCGCCAGGGGTCCGTGCTAGGTTATCTGGGCCCAGTTTCCCAGGGCGAGTGGTCGCACCTACCGTCTGTGCCCTGTATAATGTGGACGCCAGCCTCCCCAGACCCTGGAATTCGAGTTAGGGCAGAATGCAGGAGCCGAGGAACCTTGCCCCCGAGAGGTAGAAGCCATTGCGTTTGAGTTTGAAAAAAAAAGAGGACCTTCCTCTTAAGTCTTCTCAGCTCAGAAATAAATGCATGAGTTTAGTCTTTAGAGCGTCCACAGAGGAAAAGACAATGACCCTTCCATTTACAGGGCTCTACAGTTCAGTGGGAGATACAGGCAGGTTGGGCAAGGGTGGTAGGCGTTATACTGGGGATGCACAGACGCCAAAGGGAAGTTGAAGTTACCAGGGAAATGATACCTGAAGGAGCACTGAAGGAGGTGGCCACAGGGGAAAAGGATGGTGAAGGATAGGGGCTGTTTCAGACCCATCGATGAGGGAAGCGCAAGTCTTAAGACTGAGCAAGCTGCCTGGAACGTGTGGGAGTGAGGTTTAATCGGCTGAAGAGGAGGACACCGCTTTGTACACCACTGTTCATTGTTTGAACAATGAGGGTGTGGGGAGCCTGCAGAAGACTTAATAGGGGAATGGCTGGATGAATAATAGTATCATTCATTGACACACAGTGATCTCCCAAAATGTCTGGAACTATACTGGGAAGGGATGCATTTTAAACCCGGAGAGTCCAAGTGGCTTAAAAAACTCGAGCTTTGCATGATAATGATTTCTTTGAAATCTGATGTTTTATCATATCTATGCACATTTTAAAAATTATATGCCACAAATACCTTTGATAGGTTTTGTGAAATTCACCACCCTTCCATTGTATTTATCTTGGTGATTTTTTTTTTTTTTTTAAATAGCCGTTATATCTCCTGTCTCCTGAACTTCAGATACAGAGAGCGGCCTTTTCAAGTCTGGAACACTTGTTCATGGTGTTGAATACTCTCAGCAAAGAAGAAACAGACTAAGCAGCTAAGAATCTCCCGAGTTCGGGAGATTCATGCCCCTGCATGCTTGCCCTCCTTTGTCCTTGTACTCAGCTGCCACTCCTGCGGTCCAGGGAATGGTTTGGGGCCGGACTAAGAGTTAGGAGTTGGGGTTTTAGGTGGTTTTAAAACTAAGATAGTCGTAAAGATAAGAAAAGTGAGGGTGACACTTAGGTGGTAGACTGACTGACTTAGCATCTGGACTGCCAGTACTGCCACCCGCCCATGCTTTGCAGAGAAAAGAGCAGCTTTCAAGTGAACATTGAACTAGTCCAGTTGAATTTTTTTTTTTTTTTTTTTTTTTTTTTTTAAAGAGCAACTGCACTCTGCAGTATTTGGGTCAGTTCTGCTTGATAGAAAAGTAAATGTGCTTTTCTTCTTTGCACTGAACAGTTCACATCAGTCGTTTATGTTTTTTTCTTTGCTTGGCTTTTGTTTTGTTTTATTTTTTGTTTATTTTTCCTTATTCCTGCCTCAACTCAATGGTCCAGCTGTTTATAACTCTTCCAAGAGAAATTCTATATAATTTGTTCAGACTAAGGGTAATGGTCAATGTTGGTTCCAGATTAGAACAAAACCGTAGACTCTTTGTGAAGCCCTTGTATCTCTTTCTAGGTTAATACTCCTATTTATCACCACAGTTGGCCCTCCATATCTGCACGATTTGTAATCTATGCATCCAGTCAACTGCAGATCAGAACTACTCCAAAAAAGCTGGATGCAGTTTTTTTGCAATGATAGGCACTGGCAGTTCTGTCACTCAGGAGACAGATTCATGAGTACAAGGCCAGCTTGGGCTGACTTTGTCTTAAAAGTACAAAAAAAGGAAAAAAGTAATGAAAGAGGGAGGCCAAGAAATAGTCTAAAGGAGAAATAAAATTTTATTTATGCTAAACAATATGAATTTCTCGTCATTATTCCCTAAAGGATTCAGTGTAACAACTGTGCACAGCATTCACATTGTTTTAAGTTCTGTATTGAAAGATGATTCCAATTATCTAGTAACAAGGGATGGCTGTTACTGTACTACTTTAGAAAAAGGACTTTCCGACTTTGCTTTCTCTAGGGACTCTTGGCACCAAGCCCATGGGTACCAAGTGTTTCTTGCGTCAAATACACTTTGTGGTTCAGTTAACAGGAATTACAAAGATTCTGAAGAGTGGAGAACCTGGCAGATGTGACCAAGGCTTAATAGGACTAGTTGAAGAAGTGAGTTGTGTTTTGAAGTTTGGCTGGAGCATCTAAGTTCTGTTTTCCCTTCCTCTTAGAGCTTCACACATGTATGGCCTATGGAAATAATTTTTTAAATGTAAGCTTTTTAAAATAACATTACACCTTTGGGTGCTTCTGGAGGGATTAAAACCATCAGTTTTTGTGATTATTCCCTGGCACTAATTGGACAGTTGTTTAAGTACAGTTCTTTCTGGTGATGTTTTTCTAGTCTGTTCTTTAATAATGTTTGGTTACTGTTTAGTTATGGAACAAGGTCTTAACTAATTAGCTCATGTAGATCATGAACTTGCTATATAGCCCAAACTGGCCTCTTGCTGTGATCCTGCTGCAGCCTCCCAAATGCTAGGATCACAGGCATGTACAACATTTTAAGGTCACAAAAGATCAGTATAGAATATTAAGACTCATAAAAGGGAGGATTTTGCACTTAGGCTTGATTGACTGTAGCCTTTTTTTTTTTTTAATTATGTGCATGTATGAGTGCGTGAGTGTATCTGTGTGCAGACAGAAGCCCAAGGAGGTCAAAAGAGAATGTTGTAGCTCCTTGGAACTCAAGTTACTTGGAACAGGCAGTTAGGAACTGCCATGTGGGTGCTTGGAACTAAACCCCATCCTGTGCAAGATGAGCTGTGTCTTCAGCCCTGACTGTACCACTCTCTATTTATCTATCTCTCTCTATATATCTATATCTATCTATATCTATCTATCTATCTATCTATCTATATATATATATATATATATATATATATTTGGTCTGCACTCTTTTCCAGTAGATATCTGGCAAACACAAGCAGAATTCGTTGTTTTCTTTTTGGGGGGTGATAGGATAGAATGGTGGGTGTATAACCCAGGCTGGTCTCAAACTCACTATATAACAGGGTGCTCTTGAACTCGGGAACTAGCATTAAAGGCCTACACCACCACACCCAGCATTTCTCTTTAAATTAATAGATTCTTGCGTGGAGTTTTGTGCTGAGTGTATAAAATGACCATGATTGCAACTTGACAGTATTCTATAAGGATAGGGTGAGTGTACACATTCAGACCCAGCAAGACCCCAGAGAAATTCTCACAGTTATCCACAAGGAGACATGCAAACTTGATAGATGTCCTTTGTGGTATAATCAAATAGTAAAACTGTGATTGCTTATGATTAGCAGGACATAATTATGGTGCATTTATATACTAGAGTACACTAGTAAAAAATGAATGTTCAGAGCTACCTATAGCAACCTACACCTAACATGATAGGGAATGATGTGGCAAATTGCTCAGTGTGCACACTTTATATCCTCATTAATATAAAGCACTGATTCTGTAAGAAGATGAATTGGGCTTTGACTGTGTCTCTGTCTTCAGAAGCTGAATAATGTGTAAATGGGATAATGGTATTGTCCTTAATACCTTTTTTGTATAGCTAACAAAAACACTCCTTGTATCCTGGCTAGTTTTGTCAACTTGACACAAGCTAAAAAGCCATCTGAAAGGAGGTAGCATCAACTGAGAAAATGCCTCCATAAGATCCAGCTGTAAGGCATTTTTAAAAAAATTTACTTGTTCACTTTACATCCTGATCACAGCCTCCTCCCAGTCCTACCCTCCCCCCCTTCTCAGAAAAGGGGCGCCCCACCAACCTACCCTGGCAATCACGTCAATCAGGACTAAGCACATTGTCCACTGAGGCCAGACCAGGCAGCCCATCTAGGGGAATGTGATCCAAAAGCAGGCAACAGAATCCATGTCAGAGGCAGTCCCGCTCCAATTGCTAGGGAACCCACATGAAGACTAAGCTGTCCACCGGTTACATATGTGTAGGGGGCCCAGTCCCTGCATGCTCTTTGGTTGGTGTTTTAGTCTGTAAGGCCCCATGGGCTTAGGTTAGCTTGTAAGGCATTTTCTTAATTAGCATTGATGGAGGAGAGCCCAGTTCATTGTGGACAATGCCATCCCTGGGCAGGTGGTCCTGGCTTCTATAGGAAAGCAGGCAGAGGAAGCCATGGGGAGCAGGCCAGTAAGCAGCACCCCTTCATGGCCTCTGCATCATCTCCTGCCTCCAGGTTCCTGCCCTGTTTGAGTTCCTGCCCTGACATCCTTAGTGATGAACAGTGCTGTGGAAGTGTAAATTGAATAAGCCCTTTCCTCCCCAAGTTTCTTTGATCATGGTGTTTCATCACACCAATAGTAACCCTAACTAAGACACCTTGTAAAGACAAGAAACAAATAGGAAAAATAAATGACTAATAAATGGATTAGCTAATTTTAAAAGAACTTGTAAATCACCAAGCATGGTGGCAAATGGCTTATAATGCTGGCACTGGGAGACAGAAGCAGGAGCATTGTTGCAAATTGGAGGCAAACCTGGTCTACAGAGTGGTTCCAGGCCAGGTAGGGCTCCTTAGTAAGACGTGTGTGTGTGTGCACGTACATATATATAAATGATTACTTTTACTGTATAACTTGATTGTTTTCCCTCAAAACAAATCCTAAGTCTCAACTAAAACAATCTCATTCCTTTTCCTAATCCTCTGTAGTTCAAGCTCTCCTTACTAATAATCTATAAACTGCATTTATCCTTATATGCTATGACTCACAATAGAGATAAAAGGGGTCAGACATGGTAGCATAGGCCGTAACCCCAGCTCTTACAAGGCAGAAGGGTTGTGAATTCAAGGTTAGCCTGGGCTATATAACAAGACCTTGTCAAATAATTTAAACAACTAAGTATTTAGCAAGTATTTGAGGGAAAAATTGCAACATGGAGCATGCTTGCCTTGCATGCAGTGAAGTTCAAGATTCAATATCAAACAGTGTAAAAAGTAGGTGTGGCTGGGAGGCGGAGGCAGGAGGATCAAGGTCATCTTCAGCTGGAAGTTCAGCCTGAACTATATGAGACATTATTTTAAACACACATATAATTGTGTATATGTATAATCATACAATTATGTGTGTGTATATATATGTACATAATATGTATATATATATATATATATATATATATATATATATATATATATATATAGCTTATTTGTTTTTATTATAACTTGATTTTCCCCCCTCAGTAACCTATAAATACTGACAGCCCCGTGGCCACACAGAACATAGCAGTGACAATTAGAATGTTTTAATTGTCCATAACCAAAAATTAAAAGACCTTATTAATGTAGTGTTCTATCTATGTATTCATTATTCTCATACTTAAAAATAAAACGTATCATTTACCAGATTTATTCTGAGAAACCTGAAAGTAATTTGTAGCATCTCATTTTAGCATTTCCCTTTCAAGTTTTAACCCAATTAAAAAGAAAATATATAAAAACCTAAGCATTGTAAAAGTTTCATGCATGAAATGTTGGGGTTTTGATTTTTTTAAACACTTTTTTCCAAAAGAGAAGCAGCTTAACGCTAAGCAATATCTTCCTTGATGTGAATGGTATTTTTGATTGCTTACCAGTTTTTAATTGTCCATTGTTTGTTAAACTGTATTTTTAATTTCATTTGCTCTCTCCTAGGGAATGAAGGATGGCAGCACGCCGGGCATTGAGAGCTGTTTTGGTAGATCTCAGTGGCACACTGCACATTGAAGACGCAGCTGTGCCAGGCGCACAGGAAGCTCTTAAAAGGCAAGCTATCCTCCAGGTTCAGGCGACAAATACGTTTTTAAGTGCCGCTTTACCAAGGCAGATCATTAGCCAAATGGATGGCCTTGAGATGGCATTTCACCAGCGTACCATAGGTGGAGGAACTGCCTTGGGTTTAGCTGGAAGACGTATGCACTGTAATATCCCGAACATTGTTCTCCTTTATTAGGTTTGGCCTTTTGCTCTAATCTCTTTGTTCTCTCTCCTCCCTCCCCGGCTCTGCTGCTTTTTTAAAACTGGTATGTAAATTTGGGGATAAAGACTCAAGAAACTAAAATAATAATTTAAGTCTTAATATATAGAATAAATACCACTGGAGGAAAATTACATGATCCTGAAATCCAACGAAAATACAGATAAGGCACACAGGCGTGTTCTGCCTCCTGATCACCTAAGATCTAACTCTGAGTTTTATAACTGTTAAAAATAATCCTTGATTAAAAGGCTTGGGATTTTTGAGATTTCCATCAACTTAATTTAATACTTCCAGAGATTAAAGACTATCTTATATTTCTTTTTTCCCCCCTTTGGTTTTTCAAGATAGGGTTTCTCTGTGTAGACTTGGCTATCCTGGACTCACTCTGTAGACCTGGCTGGCCTCGAACTCATAAATCCACCTGCCTCTGCTTCCTTGAGTGCTGGAATTACAGGCGTGCACCACCATGCCCTCTCTCTCTTACATTTCTGATTCACCAACTATAGTACTAAACAAATCTAGAAACAAGCAGAGAACACATGATAAAAGTGTATTAAAGAGAACTGAGGGGCTAGAGATGGCTCATTAAATAAAGTGCTTGCCATGCAAGCATGAAGATCTGAGTTCAGTCCCCAGCACCCAGGTATGAAAGCCAGGTATGGTGGATCCCTGGGGCTCCCTTGCTGGCCAGTCTAGCCAAGTCCACAACTTCAGGCTAAAGGGAGACCTTGTCTCAAAAGAGGCGGCCAGGTCAAAGAAGTAAGGTTGTCCACTAGCCATACGCATGAACACACATGTGCACAGCCACCCACATGTGCACATACATACAGATGTTCACAAAGTGAGTTGGATGTGGGTGTTTGCTTCTGGGTGTCATCAAGAAAAATTTAGAGTTTTTCAGAATCGATACAAAATTTGGTACTTTGTCTTTTCAAACCCTAGAATGTTCACTGTGTGCTGTTAATCAAAAAAAACCAGGTGACAAGCATTAGTGCTGCTGGAAATGAGGGGAGCAGTTAACACAGGCTTCACCCTCTCTGCAGTGCTTACTGTCCATTCAGAGACCCAAACATAAAAATGCCAGTATGTCTATGCTCATCAGGTAGAGCTGTCATTCTCATGTAGAGTCATGATGTCAGTCTTGTAATTGGAGGAATGATGGGCGTAGTTAAAGCCAAAAGACAGCTGGGTGCACAGCTAGACTGCCATCCTTTGACACAATCTCTGTCTGAGTCAAGCCTTCAAGGACCAGGGAGGGTGTCTGCTGACCAGTGAGTGTCTGAATAGATTTCCTAGTGCTTGTTTTCTTGCTTCTTCAGGGATCTCAGGCTGGCCCTGGACTCAAAATGTAGCCAAAGGTGACCTTGCCCTTCTGAGCCTATTTTAATCTCTCAGGGCTGGAATTACAGGTGCATGCCACCGTTGATACTGAACTGGGGAGTAGAACTTGGGGGTTTGTGCACGCCAGGCAGACACTCTTCCAGCTGAGATACATCTTCAGATCTGCTTATTTTTAACAGCTAAATTTAATTTTTCTTTCCTCATAGAAAACACCAGAGAAACTGAGCCAAAAATTCATGCCAACTTTCTACAAAATGTAAAGGGAGTTTTATTCAAATAGGTAAAATTAGGCAAAATTATTGAAACTTCTTTCTTTTTTTTTTTTTTTTTTTTTAATCTAAGGGATTTCCTTTGTGACTCCTCTAATACTTATCAAAGTAGACAAAGCCAAAACGAGGTCTCTCTTCCAGATCGCCTTCTGGTTAGAGTGAGCTGATGTTTGTTCCAATCGCCCTCCCAGCCCACAGTGCCTTTATTTGCTTCTCTTTGTTCTGCACTTCAATTATGGACATACTGATGGCAACTTCATTTTCAGCATTCCCTTCCTAAGATTATTAACATTAATTTCTAGAAGCAGTTTACTTCAGAATCCTTTTAAGAATGGACACTACCCTGCTACTTCTCTCAATCAGCATAAGTTGCCCTCACACTACAGATCTGTGACTATGCTAAAGCTTCATTAAAACAAACACCATTCATTCACAGTAAGACACATACCTTCAACTACAGACCTCATGTTCAAGATGAAAACCTGTTGTCAGTACTGTTGTTACTTTTTATTCGCTTAAGTATCACATTCCTTTATGAATATATCAAAACCCACATTGAACAGTGAGTTCTGGCTCCAAAAAGAGGACTTATTTTTCTACCTGTCTTTAAGTCTTTGTCCACAAGTTCAGCAAAACTGCACATCAGTATTAGGTCTCACCGCTCTGAAGATCCACCTCTGCTGAACGGGGACAGCTCTGTGTCACTGTGTAACCTATGAGCCTGCCACTCTACTAGGCAGGAGACTCATTGTTCTGTCTGGGCACTGGCAGGTTTTCCTGCCAGGGAATCAGTCACTGGCATGGCCTCTGTGATTTTTTTATAGAAACAGATAAAGGAGGTTGAGGGATGTTTTACACAAAAAGTTTGGTTTTGTTTTTTTCAAACAAAATTCATGAAAAATCTCATTGTAGGATAACATAGTAACTCTCATTAGTAGGATAACAGCCAAGTTGACATAGTCTGTTTCTTCTGTGAGATAAACTACCGAATTTAATGTGTTTTGCTAAAAAGTGCTGCATAGGTATTATAGAGGTAATCATGAATACACTGAATTACTTAATCATACACGTTTACTTAGTGTTCTTAGGATGCATTCTTAAAACTTTCTTCTGTTATATTCATTTGCTTGTTTCAAATGTGTCAAATACTTTTATGCCCTATAGACTTCTGAGGAAGACATCAAAAGCAACAGGCTATCAATGTAAATTCTAAGCGATAGTAAAATTATAATTACTTTTAGATCTTATGTTGAAATACTGTTGGACCAAGAAAAGAATATTTCCAAAGAAGGCTGGAGTCACAAATTCTTTCTCTGAATCATGCCAGTTTATTATTCAAAACCAGATTATGTAATCAATCCTGTGTGTAAGTCATTCAGTATAGGATAGGGCCTTGCTCTGTAGCTCTGGTTGACCTTGAACTCACTGTACAGACTTTCCACACTTCTACAAGCTGCTGAGTCTGACAAGAAAACCAGTTTTAAGGATCTCTCTCTCTGAGGCAGCTGGAGAGATGGCACAGAGGTTAAGAACACTGGCTGTTCTTCCAGAGGTTCTGAGTTCAATTCCCAGCAACCACATGGTGGCTCACAACTATCTATAATGAGATCTATTGCCCCCTTCTGGTATGGAGGTGTATAAGCAGACAGAACATTGGATGGATGGATAGATAGATAGATAGATAGATAGATAGATAGATAGATAGATAGATAGATAGATAAATGCATCTTTAGAAAAAGGATCTCTCTGAACTGTCTAAGTAGTTCCTGTTTATAAACACAGTGACTCAACTTGTGTGCAGCTATCTATACTAACATCTCAGTGTTTTTTTTTTTAATATACTTTCTTCCAAATTACTTTCACAAATCTTTAATACCCTCAGTTCTTTTAGTAAGGGCAATAAAACACTATGCCAGAGCACAAAAACCCTGTCATACCCCACTACTATCTAGCTGAGTAAGTTGGGAAGTTACTTGCCTCCATAAGTCTCAGTTTTGTCATGATCGCTAACTCACCCTCAGACCCTGCCAGGACAGTGGCATTTTATTTCCTTACTAAACTCAGCAAAGGCCCCACAAAAGTCGATTCAGCTTTCAAAGTTTGACATTCTGGCTTTTGGAGGTAAAGCACTGCCCAGAGCATGTAGATAATCTGTAAGCATTCTAGGAAAATTAAAAAGAAGAATGACTGGGGCTGGAGAGATGGCTCAGAGGTTAAGAGCACTTGCTGTTCTTCCAAAGATCCTGAGTTCAGTTCCGGCAACCACATGGTGGCTCACAACCATCTGTAATGAGATCTAGAGTGCAGATCCTCTTCTGGAGTACAGGCACAAATGTATAAATAATAAATCTTTCCCAAAAAAAAAAATCAATGAAAATGCCCTTTGTCTAGAACAATAGTGCCCTGTCCTCATGTCCTAACAGTTGGCCAGCTTAGGCGGGGTTATGAAATAGGAGGTGAACGCTGCCTCTGCGCTTCTGAATTTGTCTTTTCCAGATTACGTGCTGCTTCTGTGATAGTTCGGTTTGTGACCAACACAACCAAAGAGAGCAAGCAAGACCTACTGGAAAGGTTGAAAAAACTGGAGTTTGAGATCTCCGAAGATGAAATATTCACTTCTCTGACAGCAGCCCGAAACTTAGTAGAGCAGAAGCAAGTCAGGCCCATGCTGCTGGTTGATGACCGTGCATTGCCTGATTTCAAAGGTGAGAGAGATTGGGAAGTCATTGAAAACAACTTGTTCATATAGGGATTCCTGAAATGCAGATGAGGCATCTACTCAGACTTCCTGTTCTTATTGAAATGGTCCATAAAACATAAACAACCTTGTCTGTAGCAACACAGTGCCTTCTCCTCCTAACCCTTGATCAGCTGCTCTGCCACACCAGAAGCTGCTATAGACTAGAACTTGACAGCCACCTCTGCACCTCTGGATTCACCTTTTCCAGGTCACCTGCCATGCTAACAGAGTCTGAGTTGATGTTTCTCACACCTTTTGCCCACCATCCACAATAAGAGACTCACTGTATAGTGCCGTGTGTGTGTGTGTGTGTGTGTGTGTGTGTGTGTGTGTGTGTGTGTGTTGATTACTATTCTCACTTTGTGAAATCTATATTATGTGTTTGGGTTGTTTGATTTTAAATGCTACTTAGATCATTCCAAATTAATAATCTGTTAGTGAATCATGAGCCATGGTTTAAAAGAATTATTTTGAGTATTATAACTCTAAATCCAGGATGTGCTCTCTTAACTTGGTTAAATGAGATAAGTCAGGGCCTTCTAGATAGTACAAGTATTCAATAGTGAGTGTGAAATATTTTTCAATAAGGACTAAATTGTTTTCATTTTGGAAAAAGTAACTATAGAAAAATGTCCTAGTTACTTGAAGCTTTTCCTGCATTGTTTTGTTGTCATACTTTGTGACATGACTCAATATGCAAAAATAGATTTGAATATTTTCATTGTAAGCCAGGACCTTCAGACCTGTACTTGTAGGAAATATACCAGTGTAGCAATTAGAATTATTACTTCTAATTAGAAGTAGAAGTAGAAACCAACTTTAACTGCATTCAACTGAAAAATAAATTTATTACCACCCCAGGAAGTTTTGCAGGGTGTGAGGTCTTCCACTGAGCGTGTCTCTCAACAGTGGCAACCCACCGTGCACACTTTGGTCTCTGCTGCCATTTCCCTACTGTGGCTCCTGGGAAAGGGCTGGCTCCCTGCCTAGGAAGGCAGGAGGTGAATCTTGCTGGTGCACTGTGTTAGTAAGGAAACAATTAAAGACCTCATGAATGAGGGCATGTCCACAGAACAGTAGAACCAACTGGAAGGGATAGGTTGAGTATCAAAAAGAATGGTGTGGATTACAACATACCATACAGACAAAAATCCCAGTGATACTCAGTCCACACTAGAATAGGGCAAGACTGGAGACTGCGACCTTACTCTGAAAAGAACAGGACAAGAACATCTTAAGTTCTTTATGGAGGAATCACAATAGAAATGAGAGAATTAAACACCAACACTTGATAAGCCCTCAAGAAACAAGCGAGAGTATCAATAGATTTTAAAGCATTAGCTGCAAGGGTGATGTGACCTTCACACTGGAGGGATCTGGGTAACAGTTCAACTCCACTGATCCATCTTGACACCACTGGAAGTGGAATAACTGGAATCTTGTTTCATGATGTAATATAGTAAGAAACTCATAGTATTGCCTATGAAATAGACTGCTTAAAAGTTGGGTATGAGCCTATTTAAGCTCCTGATCTAATGTCCTGTGTGCAGGAAAGATGAGGAGTAAGGAACAACTTAAATGCTTCTCTAGAACGAGCCAAATGCAAATGCTTGACCTTCTCCAGGGTTAGTGTCTAATTGCATCAGGAAGCAGAAGTGAACTTACAGAATGAGGAATGAGAGAAGAACAGTCAAAGGCAACAGGCCTTTGTGTGTTGCCAGTTTGACATTCCCTGTGTTGAGACATTTCCTATGGTAGGGCTGATTAGCAAAATGTTGATGGTTGGGAAAAACTGCATAGTAGATCTGTCCAGACTCATGATTCTAGGGGGTCTGCTTTCACTTATTTATGGATATTTTCATAACAAGAAAGGTCATGGGCCAGCAAAATATCTCAGTGGATAAAGGCACTTGCCCAAGTCTGACAATGTGGGTTTGATCCAAGGGGACCCATGCCATGGAAGGAGAGAATCGGTTCCTGCAATTTGTCCTCTGACCTTCCTGCTTGCACCGTGGCTGATGTATACGAGCACACATGCACACACCTATACACATACAGTGTAAAATTGTACACGGCCATATAGTTGCCCAAAGAACTGTCAAGGGAGCTGGAGAGAAAGTGTTGTGAAGCCAGAAGCAGTGTGCAGCGGCACCCACAGAAGTGACCAGGCGCCACTAAGGTCCCTGCAAGTGTTCTCTGGCCAGACTGTGGCCCCAACAGGCACTGCGGCTGGGGCCTGATAGGATTGGTAGCTGCTTCTCTGGAGGAGTGACTTCCTACTTCTCCGTGTCTCAAGCTTCTACTTCAAAGGCCTGAGTGGAGCTTCTGGCCAGCAGAGCTTTAGTCTTAGGCCAGCCTCCTTGTGGACACCTACGGTTTTGGTATTCTCTGCCTCTGCCCTAGGATGCCACACAAGCCAGCAATTTCTCAAGTCCATTCTGTAATAAACATAATTACTTCTGAATAAACAAAAGGATAGCAAAACAAGATTTGATTTGATTTTTACTTTCTAACTGTAGTAAAATGATATTAAAATTCTAGCTCTTTTTAAAAGTAAGATTCTGATGTGGCAGCAGTAAACTATAATTGGAATGTAAAAGCAGAATCCTTGGCAAGGGCTGGAAGAAATAGTGTCACTTGGTGATGAACTGTACCTCGTGGAACATGTTTATATACATGAAAATAACCAAATATGTGAATTTTTGAAGAAAATAAAAATATCTTTACCAGCGTTATCTCTGATTCAGTAGTAGATGCAATAAAAAGAATTAACATTAAAACACTCAGTCTCACTATAGGCAATTATTTTAGTTTGTTTCCTCAACAAACTTTAATAAGTTACTTAATACTCATGGCAGTTAGTAAGAAAGAAATTTGGAAATGGGTATCTGAACAACATGATAGGCAAAT